CAAACACCACAGAAAAACCCTGTGCAAAAAAAAAAAAAAAAAAAAAAAAAAAAAAAAAAAAAAAAAAAAAAGTCTTCAGATCTGGAACTGGAGTTACAGATGGCTGTGAATCACCATGTGGATGCTGCAGACATAACCTGTGTCCTCTGCAGAAACAGCAAATGCTTGAAGCTTTAGCTGCTGAGTCACAGAAGTTCCATTAACCTTTTCCTGGGAATTGGTAAGTCTTCTACACTTCATTCCTCTAGTCTCTGCATCCCTCTCTAGTCTGTATTTCTCTCTGTCAGCATTTCTCTCTTAAGTGTCTTTCAGTCTTTCTGCGTATTTTCTTTTTTTTTTTTAAGATTTATTTATTTATTATGTGTACAGTGTTCTGCCTGCATGTTGCCTGCATGCCAGAAGAGGGCACAGATCTCATTACAGATGGTCGAGAACCACCATGTGGTTGCTGGGAATTGAACTCCGGACCTTTGGAAGAGCAGGCAGTGCTCTTAACTGCTGAGCCATCTCTCCAGCCCATCTCTCTGCATATTTTCTCTTTGTCTTTTCCTCTGTGTTTCTATCTTTGTCTCTGTGGGTCCCTCTGTGTCTGTTACTCTCAGATTGGGATTAGCAAAATGCCCTACAGGGTCCACAAATGTCACCACTACCCAGGGGACCAATGTGAGCAAGGAAAACTCTACTGTGACCACATGGCCCTGCATTTGCTGAGGCCTACTGTGTCCATGCTCTGTTATGGGGGTGGGGAGGAGAAGCTATGCTTTCCTTTGCAGGAGGAGAAACAGAGGCTGAAGGTGGTTGAGAAGGCAGCTGGTTTGATACCTATCTTCCTGGTCTCCCAGGGCAGGCCAATAGGTCTGTTACCCCGGACAATGGCCATCATCTATGGTGAGAGCTTGGGCTAGAGCCCCCAGGGCAGAGGTGACTGGGAAGAGAAAGTTTTCTCGGACAGCCACTGGGACCAGAATTTGCACTGGTGGTAGAGGCTTCCAGTAGGATAGGCAAGTACCAGTTATACCAGGAGAATTTGGGCCAAAGGGGAGGCAGGAAGGAGCAGAGAGGGGCATCCAAGAGACCTCAGTGGTCCTTTGGAGCTGTGCAGTGGGCTCATGGAGAATGCTCTGTATGGTCAGCTGGGAAACCAAGGCCCAAAGGGAACAGGCAGGGTGTGGCCTGCCTAGGCATGATAAGCAGGGCTGGCAGGTTCTAGTAACTGATAAGGTTCCTGGACTTTATTCAGAGGACAGCTGGCATGAGGGGCTTCTGGAACATTCAAGGGGGGGCTCCAAGGTAGACAAAGGTGCTGGTGTCATGTTGGGACAAGACGTGGAAAGCTGGTAATAGTGGGCAGACTGGGGTGTTCTGGCTTGGGGGACTCTGGAGAGGCAGGTTCTGTGAGGTACTAGTGGTGACATCATTGGTGGCCTCAAGGGACTATCACAAGTGCTGTCCACAAGCTACTGTGGCAGCAGGAGCTGGGGTGTGGAGTGTGCAGAGGTTGGTCACATGGTGACCCTTGAGATGTGTTTAGAACTCAGACTCTGGCATGGCCTCCCTCTCTTTGCTCACCCTTTCTTCTTGGCAGTTGCCTTCCTTACCAGCTTTTCCGGTTCTTATAACTGCTGTCCCGAGGGCTGGGAAAAACCTGGTTCCGGGACCAGGCTCTGACTGAATGGGCGTGATGCTGCACTTTGTCCCCTTGATGAGAATCCTCAGGCAGATCAGCTGCTTTGACTGGGCAAGGGTTGGGGCCATAATCCCAGCCCACGGGCTTGTGTACTCTGGGATAAGAACCTCGCTGCCCACTCACAGAGGCCCCACACCTGCTGCCTGTACCCAGGTTCTTTCTTGATGCCAGCCCATGGCTTGGGCATGGAAAACCTGTTTTCATCCCTTGTGGAGGGTGTAGAGAAACCACCTGGCTCCAAATCAGATGCTACTTTTGGGAAAACCCCTACCTTCCCAGAGGTCCTGCCTAGACAAGCCCTGGGGCTCAAATGGGAGGTGTCACCTCATTGTTGGTGTCATAGTCTGATCCATCTGACAACATACAGTTCCTGAGGAAAAAACCCATAGCTGGGTGGTTGTGGTACAGGCCTATAATCCCAGCATTCTGGATGCAGGTGGATCTCTGTAAGTTCGAGGCCAACCTGGTCCTCAGAGTGAGTTCCAGGACAGCCAGGGCTACACAGAGAAACCCTGTCTCAAAAAACCAACCAAACAACAAAAACGAAAAATCATAGAGGGCAGCTGCCTGGTTAATTGAGGATCTGAGAGAGGTACTTCCCTTAATCACCCCTGTCATCCAACAGAGGCTTGAAGTAGAAAATAAATAAATAAACAAAACAAAACAAAAACAAAAACAGGAGGCCAAGACTCTCCTGTTTCCACAGAGGCCTTGGGAGAGTCCCCCCACAGCCTCGGGTCCTTTGTGAACATAGAGGAGTTATTCTGGCTGGCTTGGCACCCTGAAGGCGAAGGGAAACCAGGCAGCATTTTAATGTAGCCCAAGTCAACCTTGAACCCCATATGTATCGGAGGATGAGCTTGAATTTCTGATCTTCCGGCCTCTACCCAGTGAGTGCTGAGATTCCAGGTGGGTGCTACCTCACACAGTTTATGTGGGCAGTGTTGAGGCTGGAACAGGGACAGTATATGAGAGGCAAGGACTCTACCCATCAAGCCACCCAGCCTCAAACACTGGACAACTTTGTACACCCTGAAACACACGCCCACACACCTCATTCTCCTCCGAGGTAGCATTTACCCTAGTCTCTGTTTTCCCATTTGTCAACAGGCCCCTTCCTCCACTATTGCACTGGGGTGCTAGGATGTGCCTGGCAGTACAGCACTGTCATCCCAGCAACTCCAGAGACTAAGTCAGGAGGATGGCAAGTTCAAATTCAACAGTTAGACCAGCCTGGGCAACTTGGACTCTTTATCTTAATCTTTTTTTTTTTTTTCAATAAAATTGTGGTGGGTTTAGGCTGGAGAGATCAGTCAGTGGTTAAGAGCATTTGCTGCTCTTCCAGAGAACCTGGGGTTTAATTTCCAGGACCCACAGGGCAGCACAACTGGCTCTAACTCCAGTTCGAGAGGAGCAGGGGCCCTCTTCAGGCTTCTTGGGGTACCAGGCCCACAAGTGGCACAGATGCACGTGAAGGCGAAAGCCCATACACATTAAAAAAAGAAAAAGAAAACTGTGGCCAGGGAAGTAGCTCAGCTGGTGGTATGCTTGCCTGGCATGTAGGAAGCCCTGGGTTCCATCCCCAGCGCTGTATAAACCAGGCATGGTGTGGCTCACATAGCCTGTAATCCCAGCACTAAAGGAGGTGGAGGTAGGGGCAGCACAAGCGCAAGGTCACCCTTGCTTATATAATAAGCTAGAGGCCAGCCTGAGCTACAGAGGTCCCCGTCTCAAGGAAAACAAAAAAGAAAACCCCGGCACCTCAGTTGGGAGTCATGGCTGAAAGCCAAGGCGGAGGCCGCCGCCCAGAGCCCCCCGCCTCTATTCTCCAAGTCCCAGGAAGGAGGGTGCGAGGTCTTATATGGGCGTGTCTTTTCTGAGGCGCGGGTGTGGCCTGAGCAAGTTGGGGCGGGGCAACCAGAACAGAGGCGTCTGTGTGGAGCTTCGGGCCTGGGAGCGTGGCCTCCAGGGGGCGTGGCTACAGGGGGCGGACCGAATAGGCGGGGCCTCCAGGGGGCGGAGCCGAAGGCCTCGCAGGCGGCTTCAGTGTGGGGCGCCGGTCGCGCGCTCTTCTTCCAACCCGGGTGGTGGTCGGCGGGTCCGGGCCTCGTCCCCATCACGGCCCGAGAGGGGCCTGTGGCCAGCTCCACCCGCCCCCGGCTCGGGCCCCCGCCCCCCTGGGGGGCCCCAAAACCCTGCCGGCAGCAGTGCGAGGGCTACCGGGACGTGAGCATCACCAACATGACCACCTCTTTCCGCGATGGCCTGGCCTTCTGCGCTATCCTGCATCGACACCGGCCTGACCTTATGTGAGTGCTCTTTCACCCATCTGTCCGGCTCTGAGGTGCCGCTGCAAACGGGAAACTGAGGCCACGCCTGCCCTAGAATCTGGGTCAGAGTTTGCAGACACACCCCTCTCAGGTGGGCCACCCGGGGCAGGAGAGAGTACTGCAGGCATAGCCCATTCGGTGGCCCCCAAGGCTGCTGCAGTCAAGTGGCCTCTGTGCAGGCCACCAAGTGCAGCTGGGCCAGGGGCCAGGACGTGGGCTGTCCAGCCGGCTTAGTCAGTGGTGACTCAGGGCAGCGTCCGCCTTCCCCTGGCTCCCTGAGAAAGGGCAAAGGAGCAGCTCCTGGAGGGCCTTCTGAGACCCTGTGCTGTTAGAGGTTTGGAGCCCAAATCAGGATCACTTGAGGCTTCTAGTGGGAATACTGCCTTTCCCCCTGCTTGTCCAGGCGTCTTTGAGAAAGCAATCAATGAGGGAAGCCCAAGCCTTTTAGCACCTTAGGATTTTGGGGGTGGGGTCGGGGGTGGGGGTGACAATGGAGACTGTGCCACCATATCTGGAAGTTGCAGGAGTGAGCAGGGGATGGAGTCTAAAGCCCTCTACCAAAGAAGAGTCTTGGCATAGGAAGTTGGGAAGCAAGCTGGCTCCGTTTTGTTGAGGGACCTTGGTCCACAGCTGATCTGTCAGTAATTCACTCAGCTAACACCTTGGTGGACTGTGTGTTACCAGGACCTAACTTAGGCTAGTGACCTGGAATGGGACAAGATCACCTGTAGCCCATGCTTTTTTGAGAAAAGCTTTGTCCTGAGACATGGTAGCTAGAGTCAGAGTGGCCAGTTTGGGAATGTTTCTCAGGGAGGCCTTGAGGCTGAGTGAGGCTCTAGGCAGCATTTGTGGAGAACTGGTAAAATGAGGCTCAGAAAAGGAAAAAAAGCAAAATCAAAAACAACAAGAAACTCTTGTTCAGGTCACACAGCACAGCAGGCAGAGGCAGGCCTGATACCATCCAGCTCCCTTGTGCCAAGCTTTTCTCTGCTCAGGAAGTGGGAATCTTGAGCAAGAAGTAGTATTCTGCCCTATGGTTGTGAAATATGCGCCCCCTCCCCCAGCCCCAAGCTGCTTGGAGAGGCCCCATGGCACGGCCTCAGTCACTCTCAGGGAGGTGGATGTTGTGAGTTCAGTTGGGCCATCAGTTACATGGCAAGTGGAAAGCTTTGATGGATGTTGGATCAGGGATGTGGACTTGGAACACGGGAATGTGGGTATCCAGGTCTCTGTGGGTGGTGCAGGGGAAGGCTGGATGATGGTCCAGAGCAGGGAGCCTAGATGAGAACTATGACAGATTTTCAGAGGAGGAGACGATGATGTTGGTTTTGGCTGGCCTAGCAGCTTCAGTTGATAACTAGACAGGGACAGGGCCTTTGCAGATACAGGGTTTTCATCTGCTCTGAGGCAGGGGATGTGTGTGCTCCTGACCCAACACCTAGTGCCCACAGAGGAGGAGAGGTGTGCATGCAGAGGTTTGTGCTTGTGTGTGTACTTGTGTGTACACACATATGTCAACACCAGCAAGTGTCAGATGTTTGCTGGTTTAACTGACAGTTACTGAGTGCCTGCTGTATACTGTATAAGATCACTTCAGCCTCCAATGTGCAGGGAGCAACTTCCTGGTCTCAGAGACAGAAGTTCAAGGTGATGACAGGGAACCAAGAGGCTGTGACAGGAAGGAGGCTGGAGGAAGAGGCGCCTGCTGAGTTCCACCCTGGGTGGGTTATCTCGCACATTGCTGACTTCCTTGCTGTCTGTCCCAGCAGGACTGGAAGCTCAAGATGATGGTGAGTCTCTTAGTTAATGCTATGTGAAAGCTGGCGGTGGGCTTGTCTCCATATAGTTAGAGTCCCACACATAAGGGCATGCTGCTGGAGCTCAGTAGATGTGGTAGATGCTTGGGAGGAGCCTCTGTGGATTTGGAGTTTGGAAGTGACATACTAGGGAGTTCAGGAATGGAGACATGAGCTAAGGGACACTCCGGAGCTCCCAGAAGCTGGGAGGGATAAGAAGGACCCTTCCCTGGAGTGAGTATGACCCTGCTACACATTGACACTGGATACCTGGCCTTTGGGAATCAGAGGACTCATATTCCTTGGTGTGGACATCTGTAATAGCAGTGGTGGGAAGGGAATGGGGATTTTGGCAGAAATTGCAGAAGCCGGTGCAACTCCAAAGCAGTGTTTCTCCACCTGTGGGTCTCGACCCCTTTGTGGGTCAAATGACCCTTTCACAGGTCATACATATCAGATATCCTGCATATCAGATATTTACATTACAATTCATAACAGTAGCAAATTACAGTTAAAGTAGCAACGAAAATAATTTTATGGTTGGGAGTCACCACAACATGAGAAACAATTAAAGGGTCGCAGCGTCAATCACTCTTTTTTTTTTTTTTTTTTTTTTTTTTTGAGACAGGGTTTCTCTGTGGCTTTGGAGGCTGTCTTGGAACTAGCTCTTGTAGACCAGGCGGGCCTCGAACTCACAGATATCTGCCTGCCTCTGCCTCCCGAGTGCTGGGATTAAAGGGTGCGCCACAAACACCCAGCCGTTAACCACTCTTCTAAAATGTGGCTGAGTACAGGAGGAGGGTCTGCCATCTGAATCTAAGCCTTAAAATCTCCCAGTGTGGGCTGGCGAGATGGCTCAGTGGGTAAAGGGGCTTGCTGCCAAGCCTGATGACCTGTCTTGGTTCTGCAGGACTCATCCACATGATGGAAGGAAAGTGATGACTCCCCCAAATTGTCATTTTACCTGCACATATGCACACTGTTTTATGTGTCTCCTCCTCCAAATAAAGAAATGTAATTTTTTAAAAAAAGCTCCCCTCCTGTGTCCTGCTGTGCTCTGGCCCAGGTGGTGGGTGGGGTGGGGGTGAAGGATGTTTCACTGTAAAGTTGGGTGACAAATGGAAGGGGAGGAAAAGTATGATGGACTAAGGATACAGAGGGGCTGTCCTCTAAGGAGCTCTGAGGTCAGGTCTTGGCAGGGATGGGATGCAGGTCCCAGCACCCCAGCACTCTAGTTCACTTCTCCTTCCCCTGAAGACCCTTTGGCAGCAGGAAGGTGGACATCCTGTCTCCTTGTCTCTAGCTTCGCCACCAGGAAGTCCTTTCCTTTGTCTGACCTCAGAGGTTCCTCCTGCCTGCTGAGTGTGCTTCCTGTGGCCCTTGGTGGAGCACAGCTGTGAGGGAGCAAGTCTGGGCATGGGGCCAGCCAGGTGGGGCCAGGCTGCAGGCAGTGAGTTCACGTGTGCTGTGTCCCTGACGTCCCTGACCCTCCCACATGGCTAGGCCCACGGGACTGAGAAAACAGGCTTTCCAGTGAGGCCACCTGGGCCAGCTCCCTGCCTCATGCCTCAGAGCCTGGATTTTCCACGGAATTTAAGGGTGCTTGCCCATAAGGACGTTTCCGCAATGAAGCCACCCTGCAGCTGCCAGGTGAGAGAGCCGGGAACCACCCAGCACAGCTGTCAGCCCACTTCTAGTCAGCAGCCCTGCCCCAAGTAGGGAGCTGCGGTGGAGCAGGCTTCCCTTTGGACCTCACTGGGAGCCATAGGGCTCTAGCAGAGGCATGGGGCCAGAGGTATCATAGTATCCTATGGATCTGAGCCAAGAGGTGAGGGAGGTTACTTCAGGGAAGCTCCTCTCTGGCAGGAGAGCCCTGTGGGACCCTGAGATTGAACTCAGGTTATCAGACATGTATGGAAGAGCCTTTACCCTATGAGCTGTCTTACCGACCTGTCTCTGTCTCTGTCTCTTTCTGTCTCTCTCTCTTTCTGTCTCTCTCTCTTTTTCTCTCTCTGTCTTTGAGACAGAATCTCATTATATAGCCCTGAAGGCTGGGAACTCACTGTGTAGACCAGACTGGCCTTAAACTCACAGAGATCCACATGCTTGTGTCTCCCAAGTGCTGAGATTATGGTGTATGTTACCATGTCTGGCATCATTCTCTTTTGTTGAAATGGGGGGTCTCATGTAGTCCAGGCTGGCCTTGAACATACTATGTTGCCAAGGATGACCTTGAACTCCTGATCCTGCTGCCTCCATCTCCTGAGTGGTGGGATTACAGATGTGCACCACCATGTACAATTTATATAGTGCATTTATGGAACCCAGAGCTTCATGCATTCTAAGCAAGTATCCTACCATCTGAGCCACACCCCCAGCCCCAATGATGGTGTTCTGTCGTTTATTTGGAGGCAGGATCTTGATATATAGTCCATGCTGATCTAGAACTCACTACATAGCCCAGGCTGGCTCAAACTTGGGCCAAGTCTCCTGCTTTAGCCAAGAGTGCTGGGATTATAGGTATGCACTGCCATGCATGCTGTAAAGCCACAGTTCTGTGGAAACTTCCAGCTCGTGGTCATTGGTGGGATGACCTTGAGGAAGGTCCCTACCGCTCTGGAAGCTAGTGTTAAGGCCACCGCTAGAAGCAGCAGGTGGCTGAGGCAGCCTTTGTAGGAGTCCCTTGGGTGGGGGCCTCTGACTCTGTCTAGACTATAGACTCTCCTGCTGAAGGTCAGGGGTTTCCCAGGGTGTGCTCTATCCCAAAGTTTCCCTGGCCAGAGTTGAGAGTGGTCCAGGAGGCAAGGCCAGCTTCCTTCCCTCCCACACAGGCTTTGGCCAGCAGGAAGCTACTTGGGCATAGAAGCCTTCTGTTCTTCAGCTTGAGGCTGGCTGCCCAGACCCCTGCCACTGCCTTCTGGCTAACACTGTCCAGGACTGTGGGAGGGGGCTGCCCTCCCGGGGACAACTCAGCCGGGTGCTGACCTTCTAGAGGCCTTGTTCCCTGTGCCTGGTTCCCAGGCTCCTAGGAAGCTGGTCTCCCTGTCATCCCCACTTTCTTCGCTTGGTTTCTACACTCACCCTGAACCCCTCTCTCCATTTTGGAGCTGCAAGCCTCTCTCTAGCTGTCTTTTCTCTCTGCCTTCTTGCCAGTGGGATTAACTCCAGATGTGCTGGATTTGC